AAGCACTCGTCTGCTAACTGAAAGGCTGGCATTTCAAACCCACCAGCTGCTCCGGGGAAGAAAGATGTGGCAGTTTGCTTCCATAAAGATTATAGCCTTGGAAACCCTATGGGGCAGTTCTCTGTCCTGAAGGGTCCTATGAGTTGGAATCGACTCAACAGTGATGGGTTTTTTAAATGGGTGTTAGTTTCCTATCTGCAGCTCTAAGAAATTACCACAAACATAGTGGCTTAAAATAACACAAATTTATTGTGTCATAGTTCTGCAATTTAAAAGTCCGACATGAGTCTCAATGGGCTACAACTGAGATGCCAGCAGGGCTGCCTTCTATTCTGGAGACTCTAGTGGAGAGAATCTGTTTCCTTGCCCCAGCTTCTAGAGGTCCCCTTCCTGTATCTTCAAAGCCAGCAACATTGCACCTCTCTGTGCCTTTCTTCTGCAGTCTTCCTTTTCAACTTTTAAGCACCTTTGAGATTATATTGGGCCCACCCGGAAATCCAGGAGAATTTCCGTTTTAAAGTTAACTGATTGGCAACCTTAATTCCCTTTCACCACGTAATGAAACATACTCACAGGTTCCCAGGATTAAGACATGGACATCTTTGGTAGACTATTATTCTGCATACCACAATAATAAATATAAAAATTATTAATGAGATAGCTTACACTTTTTTCTTGTACTTAATCTTCAAAATCTAACGTGTATTCTACACTTAGAACACATCTCAGTTTTTGGACCAGCAACACTTCAAGTACTCAATGGCCACATGTGGCTAGTGGTGACCGTATCAGACAGCTCAGTTCTAAATAATAATATTTATCAGCACTTAGTGTAGAATACTGCTGTCCAATAGAACTTCCTATAATTAGGGAAATGCTCTATATTTGTGCTATCCAATCCAACAGCCATTAGACACTAGCCACATGTGGCTATTTAAGCTTATGATAACTAAAATTTAGCATTCTGTTCCTCCAACCAGCCATGTAGCTAGTAGCTACCATACTGGATAGCACAGATACAGAACACAGCAGCAATATGTTAAGTCTAAAGATATATACAAACTAACTACTCTAAAATGCATACAAACTGAATGCTCATATCGGTTATTAAAATGTTTCTTTTTTTTTTTTTCTCTCTCCATACAATCATTAAAGTACCCCCAGAAAATCTAACTTGAACAATATAACTTCCTGGTAAGCCTTTCAGGATAAGCTAGTTGTAAAATGTATACCTAAGTAACTGAATTAACTGACTTCCTATATAAGTTCAACTCTAAACCCATTAAAAGTTGAAGAGCTAATGTCTACAATAGGCTTAACAGTTTATAAAATATTTCACATGTATTAGAGATTAAAAAAAAGGGGGGGGGCAGTCAATTGTCTCAGTTTTCTAAAGGATAGATAGAAGACAATATGAGGAGAGACACATTGACAAAAGCACAGATTTATTTTGGCCACTTCCAGGATGTCTGGCCATGCTGGAGATGTCCACTAAGACAAGGACAGCCATGGGTAAAATCAGCCCCATTCTTTCATGTTTCAAATTGCCAGTGCCTCTTCTAAAGCTTCAGTTGTGCCTCTAAAATGGGATACTTAAACATGAGGGAGTGGGAGTAGAAAATGGATTTGAAGTTTTAAGATTAACGTCAATTTAACTCTACGATTTGGGAATCTTTTTTATCAAGCCATTCATAAGGAAAATAAACACAATCTTAATATCCCGTGCTGTATAATATTAAAATACCAAAGAGGAGAAAAATTATATCTGCAGTGATGGCAGGAAAACTTGATACTTTCATGTCATCAAGGAACCCAGTGGTGTTAGTGTTCCATTCACTTGAAAGTGAGGAGAGTGCAGTGGAGGACACAGATTATGTTAATGTCACATTGCTAATGCTGGGGTGCCAGTGTAGATGAGCTGGAAGATTCCAGTTGTCCATACAGTAAGATTTCCGAAAAGAGTTCATCACCTTATGAATCAGGGTTTCTTACTTCTGGCTACAAGAGAAACCATTCTTTCCTATAAATCTGACAAGCAACCAATAGTAATGTATTATAAGAAGCAGGAGTGTCTCATAGAACTCAAAGGCAATAATGAACCTGAAGTAGAACTTGGAAAGCCATCAAGAACTCAGACAATATTCTTTCTCAGGTTTCTTTTTCTTCTAGCTGGCTATATGCTTTCTCTATAGACTAGCTTCTGTTCTCTGGCACTTACGTGTATTATTAGCTTCTGAGAACTGCCATAACAAAATACCACAAACTGGGTGGCTTAAAACATCAGGAATTTATTGTCTCACTGTTCTAGCAGCTAGAAGTCTAAAATCAAGGTGCTGACAGGGCCATGCTCTGAAAGATCTGGGGGAAGATTCTTCCTTGCCTCTTCCTAGCTTCTGGTGGTTCCTGGCAATCCCTAGCATTCCTTGGTTTCTAGGTGCATCATTCCAGTCTCTGTCTTCATATGGCTGTCTTCCCTATGTGTCTATCTCTGTATCTTTTCTTCCCAGTTATACTGGATTAGAACCCACCCTACTTTACTATGACCTCATGTTAACTTAACTGATCCCATCTTCAAAAACTCTATTTCCCAACAAGGTCACATTGACAGGTACTGGGGTTAGAACTTCAACCTATCTTTTTAGGGGTCACAATTCAATCCATAACACCTACATCTCTTGAGTTTATACATGTAATATGGTGCTGTGTCAAGCAGTATCTTTTCTATTTGCCGTGAGTGTCCTAATAGAACACATAGCTAAGAACAAAAACAGTGCTGAGTACTCCTGCATTCTAATTCAGACAACACAACTATGAGTCCACTAATCTTCTTGCAAGATTTTCTGTAACTCTAGCTCAGGCAGGTGGGAGGTGGCACACAGAGCTCACAGTAGTGACAATCATCTCTTCTCCTCATGGGTGGGGATGAGGAATGGGGGTATTTGGCATGTAGTTTGTCCTCCCCCTTGCTGTATGGCTGGATGTGTTCAAACTACTTCCTCTACTAAGTCAGGACCCAGTGATCTACTGTCATCTAAAAATTGCTGGACTAAAAAACTAGCAGAATATCTAATGCCTCAGGTTTGCTGCTGCTGAACAAAGAGCGGAAAGAGTATAGGGATGGGAGTAGAGGGTGGGAGCAGCCTGTATTCCTACCACATGGCATAATAAAGATATGCGAGTTTCTTCATGATCTAATGGACATCATAAAAGAGGCTGGTTACTGCATTGGGCAAGGAAATGCAGGTATCAAAAAGCTTTCAAAACGACTCAAGTGACAGGGACTGAGAGTGTGAGTGTGAGTGTGTGTGTGTGTGTGTGTGTGTGTGTGTGTGTGGTGAGGAATATGTGGAGTATAGATAAAACAAGAAAGGCTATGAGTTGACAACTGTTGAAGCTGAGTGGTGGGTACATGGAGTTTCATTATAACATTTTACCTTTGTATATTTGAAATTTTCCATAATAAGTGTTTCTTTTAAGGACTGGATTATTAAAAGAGCCTGATACCAGAGGGAAATTCAATAGAGCATTGCTTGCTGAAAATGAAAAAAATGAAATTACATACTAATGAATTAAGACTTATTATTGAAATCACTTAGACATGTTATAGACCCAGTCACAAAAAGAAATTTTCTTGTCTTCTTGGTGAAGTGCCTCACATGGTCTCTTTAACTATGGCCCAATCAACCACGGCTAAGAAAACAGTCACATTATACAAAATGGGTGTTAGGGGAGAGAGGCAGTGCAAGGACACTTAAGCAATAGGAAAACAAAGGAGGTCCCTGCAAACTGGAAAAACATCAAAAGTCGGCTACTAAAAAAATCAATATAAAACAAACAACTTTACTATATGCTAAAAACAATTAGTAGGAATATACTAAAAAGAAAAAATTCTAGTCACAATAGCAAATAATACATACACACACACAAACCCTAGGGCTAAACTTAATAAAACTGTGCGGTACTTGTATGAAGAAAACTATAAACTTTTACTAAGGAATATGGATTACTAAATGGAGAGACACCCTTGTTTCTGTTTAGAAATGACTCAAGATTCTAAAGATGCTGATTATCCCTAAATTAAACTATAAAGTCAATGTAATTATAATCAAAAGTAGGACTTTTTGGGGGAACTTGACAACAGGATTTAAAAGTTTTCATTAAAAATAAAGATAAAAGTGTATTTAGGAAAATTTGAAAAAGAAGCATAATTGGAAGAAAACTTAGCACACTAGATATTAAAACAAACTATAAAACAACTTTAACACAGTATAGCACTCAAATATTCTAGAGTCCATAAATAGACCCAAGAACATGTGGTAATTTGCGATTTCAATTCAGGGAAAAGACAAAGGTTATTCAATAAATTATGTTGGGACGACAAACAGCAACTTGAAAAAAACAGTCGGATCCCTTTTTCTTTTTGTACAACTAAATAAATTTCAGATAAATTCAAAATCAAATGTAAAAAATGAAACTAGAAAGCCTATTTGACTAGTAAAGAACTAATAATCAGCACAAGATTTTTTACTTGAGATTGCAAAAAAACGAATAAAGTTGACAAAATCCAGTGTTGGTGAGGATTTGAGGAGAAAAACAATCTCATTCATAATTGATAGAAGAGTAAATCTGTATAATTTCCCAATATGCTTCACATGTCTCTTTGACCCATCAATTTTATGTATATGAATTTAAGGATAATCTTACACATGGAAAAGATATATGCACAAGAAGGTTCATAGCATTATTAATAAAATGAACAACTGTAAACTTAAAAGTCCATCTCTAGAGTATTGTTAGAGTATTAGCTCCTTTGCTCTAAGAAATCAAGTAAGTGTGTTAAGGCAGAAAATGTATTTCTCACACAAAGTCCAACCAGGATAGGAGGTCCAAGGGGGTATATGATGGAGCTCCTCCACAAGATCATCCAGGTTCCTTGTATAGCACTACTTTACCAGTCCCCTAAGGTATCATCTTTCTCTGCACGGTATAAATCCTCTTACCACTATAACCACGTTACAGATCACCGTAAAGGCGAAACAGGACAGGTAGAACGTAACCGGAAGTTGCTCTCATAACGGCCACTCACAGCACATGCTGGCCACGCCTAGCTGAAAGGGACAATGGGAAATGTAGTTGCTGTATGGGTCGGTACGTCCTTCTCCCTCCTCCCACTTACTACTAAAAGGAAAAAACGAATCAAGGACTATCATCACTCTACATCAGAGAAAATCATTACACTACACCATACAATGAGAAACTCTTCAGTTATTAAAAATGTTAGCTATATAGTTATTGTTATGAAAGAGTTAATTGACAGACTGAGTGAAAACAGCAAAGAGTGATTTTTGTTAAATTGTGTTTACTTTTAAATTTTAAATTACTATTCTGGGGAACATTTTCTCAGACACTTTATACACACACATATATGCATGTATATGTGTGTAGATATATATTATGTTTGTTATCTGAGAAAATGTTCCACAAAATAGTTCTCTTTGGAGAATGAGATAGTAAGTGATGTTTTCCTTGTGCTTTTCTGTTACTTGACTATTCTGCTACGTTTTTAAATACAAAAACAATGGAACATTTTTAATTAAAGGAAAAATGACAAAATTTGAAAGGAAATCACCAGAAATAACTGCTTAAAACTTCCTCCAAGGACTATCAAAACTGCCTAAGCATAAAGAAGCAGCTCACATAGTGGAGAAAATTTGATTAAATTCTGAGATTGCTTAATTTTGGGTCACAAAATAGCAGGCAGGTGAGAAAACTGCCCTTATTGAAAGATATTATAAAGTGAGCATTTTTTTAAATAGTATTTTGTGTTTTCAGTGAAAGTTTACATAGCAAATTAGATTCCCATTTGACAATTTCTACGCAAGTTGTTCAGTGACATTAGTTACCTTTTCCACGTGCCAACTTTCTGGGTTTAAGATTTTTTCCCATACATTTATAGTTATGTGACTCCAATTGCTCTCCCCATACTGTGATAGCACACTCCTCCTTTCCACCCGATTGCCCACGTCCATTCAACCAGCTCCTAACCCTCTCTGCCTTCCCATCTCACTTCCAGACAGAAGCTGCCTGTTTAGTCTCTTGTATCTACTTGAGCTAAGTGAGGATCTTAATATGTTCAAAAGACGTATCAGAAAACTTAACTGATGCTGGTGGTGGATGATGAGTTCATAGGTGTTTGCTGTAAGTTTGACTATGTTTTATGTCTGAAACATTACATAGTAAAAGTGTTTTAACTGGATGTTTTAATTGGATAAAATTACACACTGTATCTACTTACTCAACTGCTTATTTCTTGTTTGCCATATTTAAATTAATGATATCTGGAAAGGTATGTTAACTTGCAAAGTGAATAAATTTTTAACAAGATAAATGGATATTTTTGTGAACTTGGGGTCAACCAGAAAAAAATGTAGAGTTGTGGCCGAACATACTGGAAGTAAAACTTCAGGAGGGGTAGCTAGCATCAAAGCTACTGTGCATTTGGAATGCATACCTAGCTTACATAACATCTTCCAAGAATACCTCTCATGAACGCTTTTGCTTAAGAGTTTTCAATATTTCTAATTGGATTTTATGACAAATTATATATATAATAAAACCGAAACCATTTGCCTTTGAGTCAATTCTGACTCACAGCAACCCCATGTGTGCAGAGTAAGAACTACACTCCATAGGGTTTTCAACTGTGCCCTTTTGGAAGCAGACTGCTAGGCCTTTCTTCCAAGATGCCTCTGGGTGGGTAGAACAAATTAGCATATAAATGGAGTAAAACATTTTAAGAGGCTTGCATCTGGCATGAATGCATGTTGTAAATTCTAGAAAAGCAACTAAAAGAACAGTAAAAGAATGTTATCATGCTAATAGAGAGGGATAATAGAATTATTAAAACTTCAGAAGTCACAAAAAGAAAAAGGAACATAGACTAGGCAAGAAAAAATAGAAAGCAAGTTAGTAAAATGGTAGATTTAAACCTAAATATACCAATAATCAACTTAAATTTAAAAATACTACTCCAAATAAAAGACAAACGCTGTCACATTGGTTTTAAAAAATAATATCCTGCTTGTAAGATACATCTTTAACATAATTACAGAAAGGTTTAAAAAAAAAAGATGTCAAAACTATGCCAACACTACCCAAAGAAAGCTGGTATAATAATATCACGCAAAATAGACTTTAAGACAAAAACAATGTTAGAGACAGGCACTTGAAAATCCTAAAAGGCCGAATTCACCAGAATGAAACAACTTTAATTTATACGCACCTAGTATAAAAACAAACCTGTTGCCCTCAAGTTGATTCTGACTCATGGTTGACCTCATTAACAGAAAAAAATTGAAAAGTAGAAACACATATCCATAATCATGGTGGGAAATTTCAACAAACCTCTCTTGCTAACTGATAGAACAAGTGGACCAGGAAGTTATAAGGATGTAAAAGATTTGAACACAAATAAAATAGGTCAAATAGACGTAAACTAAATTGCATACAATAGCTACAGAATCAACTTTTCAAGATCATGTGGAATAGTTACCTATAGTAACTTAGTCATACACAGGGTCTAATAACAACTCAACCAATTTTCAGATTAAGTAAGCTCTTTAATCATAGTGGAATTAAACTAGAAATCAACAATAAGCTAGAAAATCACCAAGTTTGGAATTGTATTTGGCTTTTAAAAGCTTTACTATGATGTGCCAAATGTGGGTTTATTATACTTAACCTACTTGGGGTCCAAGACTATGAGCTGGTTGTTTCTAGTTGTGGAAAATCCTCAGCCATTATTCAACGACTCTCTATTGTTAAATTCAGGCACCAAATTCTTGATTTCAAATATAGTGTTTTTCAGTTCTAGAAATTCCATTTTTAGTTTTCCATATTTTAAATTCTCATCTTTTAGTTTGAATATATGAAGCAGTTCTTAAAAATCCATGTCTGACAGCACCATTATTAGGACTCCTTGTGGCTATTTTGTCTGTTGTGTCTCTTGTCTTTCAATATGGGCTTATCTCTTTCTATTCCTGGTTGATTGTACGAAACACTGTAGATAATTTGAGAGTCTAGATGATGCATTTTCCTGGGAAGATTTAACGGTTCCTGGGGAGACTGTTAGGCCAGAAACACTAACAAATCCGGATCACCATAATCCAATCAGGATGGTCTTTTTGTAGACTAGCTCATTTTTATTCCTAGAGTATAGCACTTTGGGGTTCCAACCCAAAGCCAGAGAGGAGAGGCTTATAGGGCACCCCTTCTTTGCGAATGCTGAACTCCAATTTTTGTCTGCCTGATCCTTATTCTCCAGAAAGCTCCCCTCAGTTTTCACTCCCTGAAGCCACTTCCATAATAGGCCCTGGGGAGAAACAAGCTCAAATGCCAGTCTCACCTATTTGATTTCCTCCTTTCTCAGATCATGGTCCTTAATTCTTCGGTAACAAGGCAATTCTCTGAAGCCTTTGGAAAAAAAATGTTTTAAATACATTTTTTTCTATTTGTTCTCAGTGGGAGAATTGGTCCAAATTACCTACCATAACTAGAAGTGACTCTTACCTCTACTGCCTCTTGAAATTTATTCCTAGCTCTTGCCCTCATCATTCTCCTGAAACAGCTCTTTCAAAGGTCAATTCTCAGTCTTCATCCTCACTATCAGCATCATCTGGCACACAATTACTCTTTCCTTATTGAAAGAAACACTTCCTTCCCTTACCTGCAAAAACACCACTCTCTTCTGTTTTCCTCTGGCTGCTCCTTCTCAGTATCCTTTGCTGGTTCCTCTTCAGCATTCCAGGGCTCAAGCATTAGACCTCTCCATTTACACTTACTCCTTGGTGATCTTACCATTAATATGCTCAGAACTCTCAAATTTATACTTCCAGTACAGAATTCTCTCCTGAATGCAAATGATGTCTGACTTTACTTCACATCTTCACTTTGATGTCTAACTGGCACCTCAAACTAAGCTCCTTATCCACCCACCTCCACCACTCCCAAACCTGTTCATTCTACAGACTTTCTCATCTCAGCTAATGGCAACTCCACATTTCCAGGTGCTCAGATAAAATCCTGTTGGTACCACCTTCAAAATACATCAGAATCTGATCATCACTTCCATTGCTACCATCCTATTTGCCTAAATATCGTCAATAGTCCCTTAACTGTTTCTGTTCCTATCCTTGGCCCTACTCAGCATGGCAACTAGAACAATTTTATTAAAGCATAAGTTGTATCACCTCTATTCAAACCTTACAATGAATTCAGAGTAAAAGCCAAAGAACTGACAATCGCCTATAACGCCCTATACAAGATGGCTTCCATTACCTCTCTGCTCTTTGGTATTTCTTGAGGAATAATATTGCCTCTGCTCCTTTGCTTAAAATCCTTTTCCTCCAGATATCTAAATGGCCTACTCCTCCATGTACCTCAAATGTCTACATTGCCTCAGTGAAGCAAACTCCAAAGCCTTCCCACCTCAGTATTCCCTGATCCGCTTCTCTCTCCATATAGCAGCTACCACTCATCTGTCTATCCCACTGGAATGTAAGTCCTACAAGGCGGGGGTTTTTCTATATAATATAGTGCTAAATGTTATGGAAGAAAATAAAGCAGGAAAAGGGGACAGTAAAGGCAAGCAGTAATGGTTGTTACAAATGTAAATAGTCAACGTAGTAATGGGAAGCAAAGAGTTACAGGCATTCAAGTATCATCACCACATCGTGCTGAAAGATGATGCTAGGTGAGATTTAAAAAAAAACAGCAACACAAAAAACCATAAGTAAAATAAAATAAAAACATTCTCAGATGAGACCTCAAGCTTTTTCTTCTTTTTTAACCAAGCTAGTTTCCCCACTGACTGGAGCAGTGGGGGTCCAACCATGTTAATGGCTAACATGTTTCCTGGGCTAAACGCTTTAATGGCATTACCTCAAGAAGGGAAATTGGTTAAGATTTACTTTAATTCAATCTGAATTTTTTGAAATTCATGTTAAGTACTTTAGCCTCAAAACATGTTAATGACTTGTTATTGTAATAGCATCAGCCTGTTACTATACCAAGTAATCACTATTAGCTTTCTTTTAAAGCTTATCTGTCAAGACCGTTTGCTTTGGTGGGTTTTGCTTATCCCAAATTATTAATCACATGTATTCACAAATAAGGTCACAAACATTGTCACCAAAGATTTCCACATTAGAGGTACAGCTCATTAAAGATCAAAAATAATCTATCTTATCTCTGTGGCTGTTCAAATCTTATAATCTGTGTAAAAGAGATGCTTCCTCAACAGTCCTAGATGTGTTTGTTGCTATTAGCAGAGCCCCAAACTGATTTCAGTCCTTAGTCATTAGCTCTATTCCCCCTTTAGCTCACAAATTTTCCATAAATACTAACTTATAACCTCTAATAGGAAGACTCCTGTATGTCTTTTTCTCCTAGGAAACTGTTATTACCTTCGTTTCTCATATCTTTGCAAACA